GTTCAGGCAGCACCAAGGACTCCACAGTCCTTCCTTCCTTCCTTCCTTCCTTCCTTCCTTCCTTTCCTTCCTTCCTTCTTTCCCTCCCTCCTCCTCCTCCTCCTCTGCAAAGCCCACTTCCTTTTAGCACTGATGATGTAACCTAGTTGGGTCATGAAATGTCTGCAAGAAAACCACCCAGCTCAGAGAGCACCAAAGACCCTGCAGTTCAACCCTCAGCTACAAAGATTCTATCAGTGCTCCAATGTTCTCTGGGGCAGCCCTAGACTGTGCTGCTAATGGGGCCTCGGCCCTTCACTCCCCTCCCTGGGATCGGTCCACAGGGTGTTTGCAGTTACGTTCCCCCCCCCTCACCTGCAAGACTGAGAGGGCACCGTTTTTGCCATAGCCAGAACACACCACAATTTCTAGATCAGGCTCAGGACTATTCTGGAACTAGAAAAAGAAAGGCATATAAATTTAATAAATAATAACACCATCAAACATCCAATTTGCTTATCCTTGGAAGGACTGGATAGGCGGACCAGAATGCCAAATCCAGTCTGAACATCTGGCTGACTGTGTGATGAAGCATTTTTTTTCTTTTTTCTTAAAAGAATTTCTTGTCAAAGTATTGATTTAACAACTTATGTAACGTAAGATGTAATAATGGGAATGACTCAGCAGGGTCTGAGTCTCTTTAAGAGCCACTGAATAATAATAATAATAATAATAATAATAATAATAATAATAATAATAATAATAATAATAATAATAATAATAAAGTTGGAAGGGACCTTGGAGGTCATCTAGTCTAACCCCCTGCTCAGGCAGGAAACCCTACATCATTTCAGACAAATGGCTGTCCAATCTCTTCTTAAAAACTTCCAGTGTTGGAGCATTCACCGCTTCTGGAGGCAGGTTGTTCCACTGGTTAATTGTTCTCACTGTCAGGAAGTTTCTCCTTAGTTCCAGGTTGCTTCTCTCCTTGGTGAGTTTCCATCCGTTGCTTCTTGTCCTGCCTTCAGATGCTTTGGAGAATAGCTTGACTCCCTCTTATTTGTGGCAGCCCCTGAGATATTGGAAGGCTGCTATCATGTCCCCCCTCGTCCTTCTCTTCATTAAACTAGACCAGGAATAGGCAACCTCGGCTCTTTTATGACTCATGGACTTCAAGCATAGCTGACTCAGGAATTCTGGGAATTGAAGTCCATGAGTCATAAAAGAGCCGAGGTTGCCTACCCCTGAACTAGACCTACCCAATTCTAGCAGCCGTTCCTTATATGTGTGTGGGTTGCTCCCTCACTGGAGGTTTTCTGGAAGAGACTGGACAGCTACCTGTCTGAAATGCTATAAGGTCTCCTGCTTGAGCAGGGGGTTGGACTAGAAGACCTCCAAGGTCCCTTCCAGCTCTCTTTTGATTGAAATGCTATAGGGTCTCTTGTTTGAGCAGAGGGCTGGACTAAAAGGTCCAACTCTGTTCTTCTGTGATTCTATTTCTCTTTTTCTTCCACAAGGGATCTTTTTTTTTCCCAGATGCAGGATAGTGTCCCCCCTCTCCCTTCCTCTCCCCAGGAAATTGGGGGCATCCAGGTGAGGCTGAGTGGGGGGGGGAGGACAGAGAACCCTACCTCCTCGGAGAGAAAAGCCGGTTCCCCCATGGCGGCGTTGGCGCAGGGCCCAATGTTCAGGATACTGTCGCAGACCTTCCAGAAGAGGAGAGAGGAAAGCGTCAAATCCGCTGAAAATTTCCGATTCACCAAGGAAAGAGGTGGGAGGGGGCACTTTTCCTGCCTTAAGAAAGCAAGATGGGGAAAAAAAAACCTCCCCAAAGCTAGTTCCAGCACTTGAGTTGCTACTACATGAGCACAGCCAAAGCTTTGAGGACTTGGTAGCCTCAATAGGAAGCCCTGGGTTCAAATGCCAGGCTGTGCCTCTGCGCTTCAACTTGACTTTAGATATGGGGGGTGGGGGGTGGGAGGCATTACTTTCAAGCGGACAGAAGAAGAAACGAAGCTTCTTCGATTCAGCTGCAGACCGTGGGAGCCTGACGCCTTGTCAAGGACACCAGAACAGGTGTCGACTTGAAGCAGACGGTTCCCATAACAAAGTGGATTTGTCGATAGGGATTACGTAAGACGTTGGGGGTTCGGCTGGGAAAACTAGGGTCTTCTGCTTGAGCAGGGGGTTGGACTAGAAGACCTCCGAGGTCTCTTCCAGCTGTATGCTGATTGACTGAAGTCTATGAATTAGTGTGGGAACCT